AGCTAAAAATAACCCTTTCAGGGTACTTTATAATAGCAACAGAAATGAAACTAATACATATACAATGGGAGAAAAAAAGCTATGAAGGCCTTCTGGAAGGTATCTCAGTGGTTCTGCTTTCATGTGGCTCTCGTAACACTAACTGTGTGTGGAAGTAGCTCTCCCTGAGATTGATACAGGCACATGCTCTCGCTCTCTCACTGCCCCCTCCCAACTCCTTGGATAAAATTGAAGGCCAGCTATATGCAGTCTGGACAGTGATGCACAGGGCAGCAGGGTCTAAAAAGACTTTTGGGATGGAGAGATGGCTCAGTAGGTAAAGGCACCAAACTGATGCAAGCCTGACATACCTGTGTTCAATCCTTGGATCCCATGGCTGAAGAACTGACCCTGAAAGCTGTCCTTTGACCTACAGTGGCACACATGTGCTCCCCCCCACAAATAATAAACAAAACAATTAAACTTAAAACTTTAATTTTTCTGCCTATCATTAGACATTTTGGGTTCACTCTTGATTCCTAAAGAAACCACTTCCTCAAATGGAGACTGAGTGCCCCATGGCAGCACATACACCATGGGCCCAGGTACTGGCTTCACCCTCTCTAGAAAGAGCTACCCTTTGTTGGAATCAGAAGAGTGCTCAGAACCCTATGAAGGCTACCTGTCCAACATAAGGAAAATTCTGTCTCCACCATAGTCTCCCAGACTTACCATCCTGCCTCACCGTTGCTCCTTCAACCCTTCCCCTACTTCCTCCCTCCCTCTCTACCTCTGAGCCTTTGCATTCTCCTCTCTGCTCCCTTTCCCTGGGACACTGCTCCATAGGCTCACTCCCTCCTTCTCCTGAGGGTCCCACTTCATTACTGCCTTATAAGAGGGCATGGCTCAGTATGAAACAGGAGCCTCTGCCTATCTTTCTCTGCCCCACAAGCCCTGCCATCTCCTCACATACAATATGCTTTTTTATTTGGGTTTTGTTTTACTTTTTGTTTCTTTGAGTCGGGGTCTCTCTATGTAGTCCTGGATGTCCCGAAACTCACTATGTAGACAGGCTGGCCTCAGACTCCCTGAGATTTGCTTATGCCTGCCTACCAAGTGCTAAAATTAAAGGTAGGTACCACCATGCCCTGCCTGTATTCTTAGTTATCCACTGCCTTATTTTCAGCATCTGGGACTGTGGGGCCCAGGCCGTGGCACCTCAGGGACACACCTTTGGCTTCAGTAGCCAGCTAGCCATCCCTCATAAGAAAGTATACCATGGAAAAGTGTGGTGGCACATGCCTTGAATCCCAGCACCTGGGAGGCAGAGGCAGGTGGATCTCTGTGAGTTAAGGATCAGGTTGGCCTACACAGTGAATTTCAAGCCAGCCAAGGCTGCATAGTAATACTCTGTCTCAAAACAAAACAAAATGAGTGTAACATGGGTGACAGTGTATACCAAGCAAGTTGAGAGACAGGAGCATCATGAGTTCATGGCCAGCCTGGACTACAATGTAGGACCTTGTGCTGGGAGAAAAAAACGAAACAAAACAAAACTGGACCCAATCATCTGATTGTTTTTAAAGGAAGGAAACCCCCATTTCAGATCATCACACGGAATCTCCTGATTGCATCAGTGTTAGCTGTTAATGGACTCTTCCCACAGAACCATGCAAGGCAGCATATGGGGGCTGAGAGAGCACGCCTCCAGCATGCTGAACTCAAAGCCACCAAGAAACTGAAGTTCACAGGGTATGATTGAACACAAAAGCCTGGCATGTTCTAATAGCAAAGGTGAGGTGCAAAGCTTCTATGCAGATGAGGGTTTCCTCTGCTCCAGCTCAGGCCTCACTTGCTCCAGGCCAGGCTGGGTCTATTTAGCCAGGCCTTGGGTTTCTTGTGTCCCTGTGCAGATGGCTTCTCTCAGGGCTTCTTTCTGCTGTGGCAGGCAAGTGGCGCCACTGTTGCTCTCTCTCCCTTCTCAGGGAAATAACTCCAAGAGGAAATTGACTGTGAAGCCTTAAGGAGAGTCCTCTCAAGATGTGGAGAAAAAGGCAGGAAAGAAATATAATCAGGTGTTCACAGTGGGGAACGTGAAGAGCTGGCAGAGCAGAGGGGGCTGCAACTGAGCATGTGCACTGAGAAATGCTAATGCTGATGGCAGGAGAGCCTGGAGGGATGCTGCTCTCCAGTGTGCAGGGTGCTGGGAGCTTGCCAGACAGGAACAAGGTGGCCATTTAACGGGGGGTGCCAGGTGCTCCACCATGGGCAAACAAACTATGGTTTCCAGCTCAAAGGGCATACAGTACTCTGTATGCCCTTTGGCATACAGGCACATGATGCGGGGGTAGAACTAAAACAGACTGAAGGTGGCTAAGATCCAGCTGAAAGAAAGAAAATGAAGGTGTGTTTTGTACTGACTGATCCCAAGCAGGGAACTGTTGATGGATTAAAAAACAAATGACAAGCCATGTGTCAGTGGGGCTAGCAGGAGAATCTTGAATTTGAGGCTAGCTGGGACTACATAGTAAAAACCTCTCTCTCTAAAAAAAAAAGAAGAAGAAGAAGAAGAAGAAGAAGAAGAAGAAGAAGAAGAAGAAGAAGGAGAAGAAGAAGAAGAAGAAGAAGAAAAAGAAAAGAAACTTCAGAGAAGCTCCCGTGGGTGAAAGTGCTAGTTGTGCAAGCCTGGTGATCTGTATTCATCACCTGGAACCCACACAAAGGTGGGGGAGAGCGGAGTCCACAGGGTTGACTTCCTACCTCCCATAGGAGTTGCAGGCACGTGCGCGCGCGCGCACACACACACACACACACACACACACACACACACACACACGCGCGCGCATGCACACACACACACACACACACACGCGCGCACACACACACGCACACGCACGCACACGCGCACACGCACACACACACGCGCACACACACACATCGAAAGAAAGCAAACAAACTCCACGTGTGCCACGTGTGCAGTATGCGCAAGTATGCATGGGCCCCTTCCAACCAGCGTGTGCGGTACAAGGATCTCGGCTCCTTGCCTGTCTCTCTTCCCTCTGAGCAAATGAGACACTGCAAACATAGAATGCAGTCAGAGCTGGCTTCCCGGACAGCATTCCCAGCTCTTTGTGCCCTTCACATTTCAACAATGCGCTAGCCACAGAAGGCGAAGGCCCTGGCTGAGGCTATGAACCTGCAGGCAGGGCCGCAGCTGGGCAGGGCAGTTCAGCAGTGGGGCCTGGTCTGCTTAGTGACCTGCCTTGCAATCGCTCCAGAACTTTGCTTCTATGTAACATGGAGAGATGGTGTATTCATTCATTTTAACTATTAAAGATGTCTCCTTAGAACAGTGGCTCTCAACCCTTCTGCTGCTGACCCTTCCTCATGTTGTGGTGACCCCCAATCATAAAATTATTTTTGTTGCTACTTCATGACTGTCATTTTGGTACTGTTATGACTCTTAGTAAATATGTGTTTTCCAATGGTCTTAGGTGACCCCTGTGAAAGGGTCATTCGACCCCTTAAAGGGGTCAGACCCACCACCAAGACCCACAACCCAGGTGTAGTAGTGCTAGCAGGAGAATCTTGAACTTGAGGCTAGCTGGGACGGCACAATAAAACCTTTCTCTAAAAAAAGGAGGAAAAATGGAAAAAGAAAAGGAACTTTGAGGTTGAGTTGAGAACCCCCCCGCCTTAGACTAAATTCTACTCATCAAACCCCACTCCCACACTTCAGCCCAGGCCCACTACACACCTCCTAGCCCTGTCTCCTCACTCAGTGTCTCAGCTCATTCCATGCTCCCCTGTTCCCACTGTTGCATTGTGCTCACTGAAGCCTCTGTGCAGCCATTCCTCTGCCTGGGATGCTCTTGCCCAGTCTGTGTAAGGTACTTTCCCCTGACATCTTGCTCTTCATCTCCCTCTTCTGACTTTACTTAATGTTGGTTATGGTTGTTTTAGAAAGGGTTTCCCCTCTGCAGCCCAGGCTGGCCTTGCTCGGGATCTTCCTGCTCTGTCTCAGCAGTGTAATTATAAACGTGCACCGTCACGCCCAGCTCCCTCTTCAGTTTCCTTCAGAGAACCCACTGATATCTGACATGATCTAATGTTTCTGTCGCACCCGGAACCTAACTGGTTAAGAACAGGCACTTTATATGCTTTGTTGATTTCTGTGTCTATGGCGTTACAAACACAGGCCAAGGCTCAAGAATGCACTGCCAGGAAACACTTGTGGAAGGAGAGCCTGGGACATGCTATTACTGGAAACACGGTGGTGGCCTGAAGAAGGGAGAACAAGTGTGCCCTGGCCCCTGTCAGCTGCGGTACCAACATGGCTGTGAGCTGCAGACACCCAGCTGTCTGGCTGCCCCATGGGTGGTCTGCTGCCTGGGGTCACTGTGATATACAGAATGCCTCACAGACCAAGGTACATACACACAGGCAGGTGCACGCTCGCTCCTTGCCTGCCCCAGTCCTTCAGACTCTTCCCTGGCACGAATGTCCAGAGACGTCGACTCTTTTCTACAAAGCCTTTCCAGCCAAGCTACTCACTCTACCAGGCTTGGTCTCTCCACTCAGCCCTTTCTCCATTTAGAGGGACCGGATGCTAGCTGACCCACCCATGAATACAGATGTGTGGCCCATGCTCTATGTATCAAAACAGTGAGATGATGGCAGGCAAGGCGGGAAAAGTGCTTGCTGCCCAAGCCTGAGGACCTGAGTTTAATCCCAGGAACGCACAGTAGAGCAGCGAAGTGACTCCTCAGACTTGTCCTTTGACCTCCACATGTGCTTCACTGTATCCCACACACATGCCAGCAAGCGAGCATACATACACATACACACACACACACACACACACACATACGCACGCACGCACACACACACTTTTTTTTTTTAATGAGAAAAGAGTAAAGGTCAAAGGAAGTAGGTGTTGGAAAGAGCCCTGACTCTGGGCCCTAGAACACCAGACCCTGATTTTTTGGGAGCCCCAAGGGCAAGCCGAGGCTAGTCCCTACCTGTGCATGGTCCCCAGTGGCATCCTTGTGCTTGCCAGTCACATCCTCATATGACTCAAAATCTTCTGAATAGTCCAGGGGAGGTTCAATGTGGAGCCGGGAGCCAGCTTCAGTTCTGATCTGCACAGATTTCTGGACACAGAAATTCAGTGATGAAATGAGGACAGACACCATTCTGCTCAAGGACTGGAAGGAGCCTAGCTGCCCAGAATGGGATTTAAGGGGTACTATGCCTGAGCAGGGTAGGATTTAGTTTTCTGTTTTTGTTTTAGATCAGGTCCCTTTATGTAGTCTAGGCTGTCCCCAGACTAGTGATCCTCCTGTCTCAACGCCCTGACTACTGGGATTACCACTGTGGCTACTGTTCCTAGCTCAGCAGTTGTGACTTCGCACGGTTATATCACCTCTGCTTGTTTCTTCCTTATACTTGCAAAGTGTGTAGTAGAAATGTTCAGAGTTTTAAGGATTATTTTTCAGTAGGATTTTTATAGGTGTTTAAGCTTCTCCCAAAAAGCCATGTGAGCTAACCCTATGTTTATGTTTGGGAAAGCCTGGCCAATGCACTGTGGGTATGCTAAACTGAAATGTACAGAATGCTTGTGAAGCTTTTTGGACTACATAATCTGTCCTGGCTGCAGCCTCCCTTCTTTCCAGCATTCTTTGCATCTTTCTTTGAGAAACAAATACCTGCACCAGGTGTTGGGGGCTATGGATCACTCCAGAATTCTATTTCCCTTTCTTCCCCTGTGCTCCTGTCCCAGGTGTGCCTAGCACCTCCCTCCCCAGTGCAACTAGGAAGGACTAAGGGGCCCAGATGAGCAAAAGGAGTGGGTGACAGGGCATGATGCAGGTGCTCCAGGCCCAGCTCACCTGGCTTTCTGAGTTAGCAAGGAGATGCTCCCCCAAACCCCCAGATGCTGCAGCATCAGACCACAAAGAAGGCTTTTACCACTTATGATTTTTATTCTGAGCAGAGTGGGCTGAGACACAAAGAGGGGCAGCAGAGGCGGTGGCAGCTGCAGCCAGTGGCAAAAAAAAAAAAAAAAAAAGCTAGAGAGTTTCAGAGAGTGGGTGGGGCAGAGTAAGGGGGAGATAACTGAGGACAGTGCAGTATAGAGAAGAAATAGCAGGCTGTGAGCCAAGGCTGTGGAAGGCACAAAAGATGGGAGGCAAGATGCTGAAGCTCTTAGTTTCTAGAAGATCTCCCGGGAGCTGCCAACCACAAAGGCTCATGCTTGTGGCGCTGGAGGTTTGAAAACTACACCACTAGCCATAGTAGCCACTGAGACTCCCAAAGTAGCCAGCTCCAGAGTTGGAGCATCTCCTGCTGCAGCCTGCTGCCTGACTGCTTGGAGCTCAGGATCTCACTGGCTGCTGAGTACTGGGCCACTGGCAGTTGCTACTCAGAACAGAAAGCCTCTAAGAGCACCTCGAGCTGCCTCTGGCTTCTAAGACCTGGAGCCACAGGTCTCTATTCTCAGGGCCCAGAGTCTGTTAGCCCAGCCCACAAGCTTCCTTGTCAGCCGTGTCTTCTGGAGAAATGTCTTAGCTCTCTCTCTGGCCAGTACTAGAAGCTATGTGCTCATGATTTCCACCTGAGTAGGACAAAATGGCTCAGTCAGCTGATAGGCGACATCTGCTGTCACACTGTTCAAGCCACTGCTGGCAAACCCAGGCCTTACTTGATATACCCAGCATGCAAGGGTCCCACACGAATCCCTGTACATTTTAACACCTATGACTGTTGAGCCACTGGAGCTACTGCCAAGGGCCTGTCAGTCCAGCTGAGCCCACAGAAACCCCTTCCTTCTCTCTGTGGGCTCATTTGCCTCCCTGTCCTGTCTATGTGTGGCTTGAGGGTGCAAATGAAACAGGCAGCTGTCTATGAGAGCAATGAAGGTGTCCCAACAGAGAGACAATAAGGACCATCAGGTCACTTTGTAATGTCTAGGGATGGCTCTAGAGCCACACCATTATTGTCCCAGCCCCCCACCCCACTTCACTCCAAAGCCCTGGGCTAGCTCCAGCTATGACATGGCTTCCTTCTAGACTTTGCTACTTTGTTCTCCTCTCCAAGCCAAGGAACGCACACTTCACTCTTCTTCCTGGGCCACTCAGCAATGTCCTAACACTGGGACCTTTTGGCCAAGAGTTGATGATGGGAGAAAAGGAAGCAGCCGACCACAGACTTGGGTCAGGTGAAGGAGGAAGTGGCCTGAGTCACCAGCCACCTGGCCCCTTTAGGGCCTTCTAGTCCTTTCTCTACAAAGTGCAGGGCTTAGACTAGGGCTTTGCTACTTCTGAATGCCATCTGTGGACCTAGAATAGTATTAACCTTTCCCTCATCTCTTTCCTAAAATCCAGATAAGCCTAAGCATAGCCTGTCTGTCTGTCCTGTCCTTTGCCTCTGAGAAAGCACCTTAGTTCTTTCTTGGGAACTCCTTCCAGCTTCTGCTCCCAGTGGCTCTTGCAGAACTAAGTTCCCCCTCTAGGGGAAGGTGGAGCATGTGACCTAAGCTAGAGTGGCAGACACCACTCCCCTCCTCCCCCCAACCCTCCATACTGAGTGGTAGTTCCTGGGAACAGGAGAGACAAGAGTGGGGAACAGAACGTAAGTGAGGAGCTGTTGGGGCTACCTTGGCCTCTTTGGGGCACAGGAAAAGCCTGGTTGAAAGGCAGAGATTGAGGCCTGGCCTAGGTCTGTGCTCCTAAGATGATGTGAACTGCCTGAAAGGAAGCTGGCAAGCGACAGTGGGAGATGCAGTGTGGCCAGCCTCTGGCTTGGCGTAGCCACAGAAGAAGCTCTACATCCAGCAAGGAGCCAGGATCACAGCCTTAGCAACTCCCCAGCCACCTCCCAATATGCAAACACAGCTTTGTGGTCAGCCTGAAGGCCCTTAGTCAGCAGGCCCTCACCAAGCTCTAACTGCACCGAGTTCCAGACATCAGTGCCCTGCCCCCGAGCCCGCTCAGCACCATAGTGAACACTGCAGGTTATGAAGCAACAGTGCTGAAATTAACTCTGTGGTCCAGAAAGCGCTTACAACACTGAGTGGGTGCCCGGAGGGTAATAAATAGCCACCATCTGTCCTGCTCTCCCGCCCTATCCTGGGGAGCCTACTCAACCCACAACCTGAGAGGTGGCCCCACCCACACCAAGCCTGGCGGATTCTAACCCAGCCTCATCCACATGCATGTTACTGGCCTCCCACCTTCCACCTTGCATGGAAGGATGACGAGGCTCTGGGCTGGCTCCCCGAATGGCATGCTGCTTTACCGGGAGTGGGCGTTCACGCGCGGCTGCTCTTTCCTGCCTACTTGTACATCCAGACCCTGGCAGACCTTTGCAGTACCTATCCTGGAGGAGGATTTAAAAGCCTCTCCACACAAACCCCCAAAAGCTGCTCCCTTTCTGCTCAGCCCACACTCCACCCAGTTCATGCCCGGAGTTATTTGTGTGTCTTCTGCACCTCCTCATAAAGTGTTCAAAGAGGGTGCATTGAAGTGTGCTGTCAAACCAAGAAGAGCAAGCACACGGGATGCCCTGGATGCTTGTGCAGGCTGTGAGACATGTTAATGGTGCCCTCTAGAGGCAGAAGGGCTCTACCGAACCCCCAAAGGCAGGCTGGGGTGAAGAGCTGGTCTTCTTTGATCAGCTCTTTCCTGGTTTGTCAGCTCTTGTCATGATCAGAAGTCAGACAGCACCAAAGGAAGAGGCCCAGCTTCACAGCCTAGAGGTGAGCTGTGCTGCAGAAGCTCGTACGGCTGCAGCAACTCAGGAAGCAGATATTGTAGTGAGGGACAGCCAAGGCCACTTTCATCCCTCAGCAAACCTTCTGTGGAGACCTTTCCTGAGAGTCTAGCCCACAGTAAATCGCTGGAAGGCCAATCCCTTCACCGCCGATTTAGTGCTGAGAGCCAGTGACGTTCATCAAAGCTGACAGCATTTTGGTAAACGGCAGCTCTGTTGATTAGGCCACTGTCTACCCAAGTATTACAAGGCTGAGGAAGCCATAAATCTTAATCCACTGATGGCGGCAGAGAGATCTAAGGCCCAGAAGCAGCAAGAAAAAGGTGAGCAGGGACAGATGCTCAGATAACACCTGCAGGCCTCTCCCCAGTACAGGCGCTGGCTTGGGAGCCTGCTGCATTTATCCAATCAACCTCTAGGGCTCCTAACCCCCACTGACGGCGCCATGGCCAGTAAAAGTGATAATGCAACTGCACTGACCCTTCATGGCGGGCCCTGCAGTACAAGAGAAACCCTGTAACTGGGACGGGACCATAGTCCCATTCCTGGTAGGGTGACTTTTAAGAATTAGTCACTGGCTACTAGGGACCCTGCAACCTTAATCACCTGCTTCCCTCTGGCTACCCACAAAGAAAGAGGAGCCCAGCCAAAACGATGGAAACAGCTGGGCATGGTAACTCTAGCATGAGAGAGGTGTGTACAGGAGGATCAAGACTTCAAGGGTAACCTCAACTACATAGTGAGGTCAAGGTCAGCTCAGGTTATATGAGACCATGTTTCAGTTTCCTTTAAAAAAAAAAAAAAAAAAGAGCAAAGCAAATATAGGGCTAGGTGGGAGTGGCGCACACCTTTAATCCCAGCACTCAGGGAGGCAGAGTCAGGTGGATCTCTGCGTTTGAGGCCGGCCTGGTCTACAGAGCAAGTTCCAGAACAACTAGGGCTACATAGAGAAACCTTGTACATAAAAAAAAAAAAAAAAAAAAGAACATAGAGAATCAAAAATTTAAAACCCCAGAGACTATACCCTCCCTCTTCTGTGGACCTAAAAATCTGCCTCTGGGACTTTTTACCTTGGAGACACTTTTCACTAAATTCCACTTCTTAGGACCAAAAGATGTGAGTTTCTCATCCTGGTGACAGTAGAACAAGGTAGCTGACACACCAAGGCTGTACTGCCCAACTCCAGCAACCTAACACACACACAGGCACAGACAGACACACACACAGACACATGCGCACACAGACACACACACACAGGCACACACACAGGCACACACAGGCACCAGGCATGCACACACAGGCACACACATACACCTCAGGCTGTTCAAGGCCAGGCAGGATTAGCACCAGGTGACCTCCACTCAGGCGGCAGTCAGCACCACACCAAAGTCAACTACCACAATTCAGAGTAACACAGATGAGCTGAGACATTCAAATAGTTTCTCTTAGAAGTTTTAACCAACTCAGGCATGAGAAACCGGCCTGGGAAGGCGCAGTGGGTCAGTGGAGCCACAGGATAGGACACAGGGTGGGGCTGTGGGAAGTGGCAGAAAGGAGAGCTAGGTGAATTCAAGAACATAGCCTCTGAGCTCCTGTGTGCCCTGGGGAGGTGTGGGGGTACCTCTGCACACAGCAGCCACGAGCTTTCCAAAGGCAGCTTCCCCCAGCTTGGTGCTTCCAGGGAGCCATCCCACTCAGTCTGCTGTCCAGACTCCTCAGCCTGTGCTACCAGCCATGCAGCTGTAACCCAGGCCCCCAGCACTTCCTCTCATCACCATACACTGATCACTGCTAACACCTTTCCACCACACTCGGCTGTGCCTTTCTAGGGAGACCACAGGCCCTCACACTTGGGACTGCTGCAGGGCCCCTGGGCACCTCTGCTGCCGCCACTGTCCCTCCTGTATGGCTCTCCTTTATAGTGTTTGCCATCAACTTGCTGGCTGCTGCTGGCCTGGCCACAACCCTCATCCCGTGAGCTCCAGGGCAGCAAGGCTTGCCTGCTCTACTTGCAGCTCACATCCCAGCAGTAAGGATGCAAAACTCTGAGGTGCTCCATAAATGGTCAGGACTGAACAGAGGGACTGAGGTCAGACAAGAGAATGAGGCGGCAGAAGAGATAACTCAGCAGTCAAGGGAGACTGCTGTGCAGCCACGAGGACTAGAGTTTGGAAGAAGGGCCTTCTGAGCAAAGGCACAGGGGAATGTGGTGGAAAGGTGTTGGCAGCTTCCAGCTCTGAGGGAGCAGAGACAAGAAGACAGCTAATGCTTGTTGTGTTCCAGCCTAGCTGAAAAGATGCAAGCCCTAGGTTGGTTTAAAGAGAGACTCTGCTTCAATGGAATAGGCAGAGAGTAATCTAGGAGTACACCCAATGCCTTTCTGGCCTTTGCATACATGCATGCCCACCCCCAATAAAATAAATACATAACTAGAAATGAGGGAATGAAGAGCCTGAAAACCTCCAGACCGAGAAACCTTCAACACCTGCCCTCCATCAATCCCAACAATGACCAATTCTGTGCCAGGCATGGCAGGAACCTCCACAGACACAGGTGATCCTTATTAGCTACCTGCTGAGCCGGGTATCCTTATCAACCATCTTCTGGATGGAAAAGCAGGCACCAAGAGGATGAGCAGCATAACCAGAGAGCTGCAAGCACTAGCCTCATGAGCTGCCACCAGGGGCACCCAGCTGAAGCAGCACAGGGCTCATAGATCACCTGTGACAAAGCACACACAAGCCTTCCCAACAGCACCAGGAGGTTGTGATGCTAATAAAGGCAAAGCTCAGAGAAGTCCATTATCAGCTCCAAAACACACACCAAAGCAGCGGCCCTAAGCCCATTCTCTTCTCCTCCCAGGAGCCACAAGTTCAAATGCCAGGTGGGGAGAGAATGTATGGTAGAAGACACGGTACATGAGCCAAATGATGGCATGACTTCTGCTCTGCCAAGGTACTGAGACCCTGAGGGTGGCAGCTTAGTGGCCTGGCACTGCAGCTCCTCATGGCTCAGGGTCTGTGTGCAAAGGAGGTCCAGCCAATCATGTTGCTTCAGGCAGGGAGAACAGATGTGAGGAGAGGAGGAGAGGGGTGAGTCACTGCTGTTTCTGAGCACTGTCCTGAAAGCAACAGGCTTTTCAATTCCATCCCACGCTAGCTGGACCACAGAACAGGATCTGTTGTGGCATCCCTAAGGCTCTGCCTCCACTCTCACAGTTGTCCTGGGCATCAGCTCTCCTGGCAAACCAGGACAGAAAGCTATACAATGTGGGCTGAAGGCCCCCTCCAACCTGCCCAGCTCACCAGCCACAGGACTGTGAATGCACCACTCAGCCTGGCCAGCTTGCTACTCAAACAGTGGTCCCTATTGTTAGGCACCGAGTGACCCCTGACTGCTGTAGTGCAGAAGGGCAATTATAGCAGAGCGGCTTTGGAAGGCAAGGGGAAATTAGCCCTGATTAAGTCTTGAGAAGTGGGGAGCCACAGGAGAGATGGGAGGGATGCTAATTAATCTCAGGCCAAGTCTTTTAAATTGCACAAACTCTGGGGCCAGCTATCAAGTCACAGTCTAAGACACAAATATGGCTCGTGATAATAGGAAGCACTCCAAACAAGCAGAAGAGCTGTGTGGAGTGAGGCAGGCAAGAAAGGCCTCATTAACAAGAAATTAACATTTATGGATAGGGACAGACAGAAGTGCCCAGGGTGGCACCCTGTGGGCCTGCTCTTCAGACCCCAGATGAAGCAGGCACAACTGTTTCTAATGAGCACAGAGTAAAGATGCTCTCAGTGGATGTGTGAAGACCAAGGAGTCTGCAGCAACACACCCAACCCCTACCCCAACCCAGCCTCTTCCCTCAGAGGTGACGTGACCCTAAACAAGTGCTTTTGGCTCTCTGGGCCTCAGTTCCTACGGCAGCACCATGAGGACATATATCAACCAGCATGCTGTGAAGACATGCTAGGTGGCAAGCACAAGAAAGCCTTTACTGCAGTCTACTATAAAATGCAGTGCCAAATTTCCCCCCTATACAGCTTAATAATGACAACGATCCCCAGCCCAGGCCTCTCAATCTGTGTTGTGTGAGGTCCCTGAGGCCAGCTGAATGTGCAAAAGGTACAACAGGAACTAAGACCCCACAACTCAACTTGAGCGCATACATGGCATAGAGTAGCGCTTGGGTGCTTTAGGCTGTTCCATACATAGCCAGAGCCAGCCCAGGGGAAGGTGGCGAGGGACCATAGCAACGCCAAATTGGGCGAGAATATGGAACTCAAAGCCAAAGATCTGGTTCTAAGTCATGATTCTACCACTTCTTATCTATAACCCTGGGCAGGTCCCGGAGTTTTTCTAAGCCATCTGTCTCCTCTGCTCCCGAATAAGAGGGCACAATGTGAAAAGCTAGGCTCCGGGTGTGCTATGAGTGCAAAGAATAGGGGTTGTGTGTAGCTGAGGCAGTTCTGGGGCTCAGGGACAGGACTTAGAAGTACAGGCTGTGCCTCAGGAACATCGGCAGCCATCTAAATGGGCCCCTCAGTTCACCAGAGCAGGGTTCAATCCTCATCACTTGTTTTATCTCTGGCCATGCCTGGCACATAGTAGGTATTCAATAAGAGGCAAGTGCATAAATGAGCCCTCACAAATGAGCATGAGTCTGCCCTTACTACACCTCCCTGTGGGCTCTGGAGCTCCCAGGCAGAGGGAGGACCCTGCAGCAGGGAAGGTCCTCCAAAAGCCAGTCCATGCAGACAGGGCACCCTGCAGTGCCCAGCACAGTCACCGAGCACCCAGGAGGTTAAACACTCCACAGGCCCACTCCTCAGCCTAATGCAAGTGCCTGGTTCTGCGCTGTTTCCAGACCTGGTGCCATCCTCGGCGCTGAACTTTTCCTGGTGCTGTCTTTGAGCTGCATCTTAAGACTTCCTCAGCTTCTCGCAACAGGGTTCTTCGTCCATAATCTGCAACAGAGACAGAGAAGGGGCTGGTGAGACATGGAAGACAAGTTCACACAGATGGCTTTCTGAAGCCTTCATTGGCAATCCTGTCCAGCTGCTCAGGGTCCTGCCTATGAGGGAGGGACGCATCTGCCTGTTGAAGCAAGTCACAGACAAGCCAATGTCTATATGTCACATTCTATATTTCACAGAATGTCTATAAAATGACATGTCTAAGCGCACATCAGACAGCTCTTTAGACACAAAGAGCCAGTACCAAAACACAGACACAAGGTGTAACTCCAACAGCAGGCTGCCATGTGTAAATCAGGGTAGACGGGAACATATTTGAGGAATGAATGAGTATATTGCTGGGGTCCCACGATAATCCTGTTTTCAGTTCTTGCTAATTCTACCAACTGGCAGAATACCCAGAATGAAATCTAGAGGAGCTATACCATTCCCTCTTGGCCACGGGGGCTACAAAGCACTGTGTGGCTTTCAAGGGGAATATTTTGGGATATCACTTTCTCCTCTTGTCCCTTTGTTGTTGTTTTAATTTTGCCAGCATATAATGGCTTGGGAGCTTCCCATACCTACAAGGCAATGAATTATAATAATACAGAGAGACCAAGTAGATTCCTCAGAATAACACAGCTAACCTGAAGCCTGGTCCCACCTGTTCAACCATTCTATCCATTCATTACCAAATTTCCAATTCGCCTACTGGGTAGACTAGGTGGAGAACTTCTCCACCACACTCACAGGCTCTCGGAGGACACATGAAATCCCTTTAAAGCATGAAAGGGCTGGATTAGCTAAATGTAAAAATGAAGGGTAGAATCAAATAGTTCATAGGGGTTTGGTATTAAAGTTATTATGTGCATATCAGCTATTATTTAAAATTGCCCTTAAAATCATGACAATGGCACTCCAGCAATGTAAAAACTAGAAATTTTTTACTCTAGCTGCGTAGGGTTTGAGGTATGGAGGCCAAATCTAGTTTGAAAAAAGCAAGAATGGATTTAAGATTGGAGTGGTTTCTTAGCACGGGAGGCCTGGGCTCCATCCCTAGCACCTTAAAGAGTGTTTTCCTTTCTTGTTCTTGGGATCGATCTCTGCTCAGGTGGGTACAATTAACTCATTTGCTGGTGAGCTCACACATACAGGACATTTCCAGTCTCTAACATCTCTTTAATTAATTTTCTCTTGCAGTGCTGGGGATTTGAACCCAGGGCTTCGCTTATGTTATGCAGCTGCTCTATCACTGAGCTACATCCCATCCCTTAATTTTCAACTGAAAATGCTGCTGTCTGGCCTGGGAGTCTGCACTCACCTTGTGACCCCTCGGCCTGTGAGGCACTTCTGGAGAAGTCTGTATGCACAGCTTTCCGTGGGGATGTCTTCAGCTCTGAATTGGCCCCATTGACATAGACAGAGAAACCTTGCTCCAAGTGCTCCAGCCTAAGCTGCACGGGGTCCTTGGCCTTCAGATGCTTTAATATCCTGTAAGAGAAAAGGTTGTCTGCCTGGATCCCAGCAGTACCTGAGCCTCCATATCCCCAAGGCCAGCAGAGAACTGCTTTGGCAAGGTTACGGCAATGTCTGTGTGATGGTTTAAGTGAGAACAGCCACCATAGGCTCATATGCTTGGATACCTAGTTTCCAGTTGGCAGAACTGTTTGGGAAGATTTAGGAAGCATGGCCTTGTTGGAGGAGGTATGTCACTGGGGGCAGGCTTTGAGGTTTCAAAAGATTCCCACTAGGTACAGTTTGCTTCTTCTCTGCTTCACGTATGTGGGTCAGGATGGAACTCTCAGCCACTGCTCAAGTGAAGTGTCTGCTTGCTGCTCCCCACCACCATGGTACAGGATTCTTACCACTCTGAAACTGTAAGCCCAAAGAAATATTTTCCTTTATAAGTTGCCTTGTTCATGGTGTTTTATTACAGCACTAAAAAAGTAACTAAAACTGAAGCTGGTATCAGGGGATGGGCTTTGTTGTGAAAGGCTGGATTATGATGGTTTTCGGAGGAATGTGGAAGATTTGGGGGCTTTAGCTAGGAGAGCAGTTGAACACTGTAAGTGGAGCTTAATGGGTCATCCTAGTAGGAGCTTGAAAAGCATTACTGCCGAGTGAAATGTGGATAGTGGGGGCGCAGCTCCAAAGTTTCAGAGAGGAACATTATTAGCAACTGGGCTAGAGACCATTCTTGAAATACTTTGGCAAAGAATGTGGCTGCTTTCTGCCCTTTTCTGCCTGAGGCTAAATGGAAAGGTTTGGACTAATTTGTTGGCCAGGGAGATTTCAAGACAGACCGATGTTGATCCTGTCATATGTTTATTAGTGATTGCTCTTATGCAGCAATGAAAAAGAGCAAGAAGGGCAAAGAAGAAAAATAAAATGCACAGTTTGTAGAGAAAAAGAGCCCCAGGAAACTTAATGTGGGAGCCAAGGCATTTACTGAAGGAGATGAGGAGAGGACTGATAGAAAATGGAATAAAAGAAGTGATGCCCTCAGGGCAAGACTCAACCCAGCTAATCCTGCCATTTCTGAAAGGAAAGGAACCAAGGAATTTCCCCTACCCTAAAAGCAACTACAGGGGATTTTATGCAAATGTGATTCAAGAAGGGGGGGGGGGTGTCCATCCCAAGAAGGCAGCAGAATTTGGCAGTGCCCACTACACGGTTCTGGCTTTAGAGTCATGACGAATACCAGAGAAAAGAGGTTGTGGTCTCTTCCTCTGAGGTTAAGAGACCCACAGAGGCCATGCAGGTGGCAGAGGAGTCCCTGCATAGAGGCCCAGAAAGGCCAGTGTGTGAAGCTCTGAAAATGAAGCCTGGGTTGCACTGGAGATTTCAGGATGTTGGAGATGCCAGAGTCATGGGATGTATGCCAGAGAGAGCTGCACACAGAAAGTGGAACCAGCCCAAGAAAAAGAAGTGTGTGCAGTCAGCAAAGCTGGAAGGGTGGAGCCATCTAAGCACTTGGACATCACAGTATTTCCTCACTATGCCCCTATCTTTGCATTTTGGAATCATAATGTATATTCTGTGCCATTGTGTGTTAGAATCATGTAATTTGCTTTTTGATTTTATAAGGGATTACAATGAAAAAGGTTCCCTGGGTCTTAGAAGAAACTTTTTGGACTTTCTTGTTTGTTTTGTTGGGACAGGGTTTCTCTGTGCAGCCCTGGCTGTTCTAGAACTCACTATGTCAACCAGGCTGGCTTCACAGATCTGCCTGCCTCTGTCTCCTAAGTGCTAGGAATTAAGATATGTACTACCACACTAGGCTGACTTTTTGGACTTTTAAATTGTGTTTATAGTGTGAAAGACTATGGGGACATTTGAAATAGAACTAAATATATTTTGCACTGAGATACAGTTATGAGCCCACGGGGACAGGGAATGAAATGCAGGTGGTTTGAATGAGGATGATGCCCCCCGCCAGACCTCGTCTTGCCAGTGCCTATAGGCTCATATGTTTGAATACTTGGCTCCCAATTGGTAGAGCTGTTTGAGAACGACTGGGAGGTGTCTCACTGTCAGTAGGTGTCCATGTTTCAAAAGACTCCCACCATTCCCAGTGTGCTTCTCTGCTTCCTGTTTGTAGATCAAGGTATTAGGTCTCAGCTACTACTCTAGTTACTCTAGTGCCATGTCTGCCTGCCTGCCATCATGCTCCCTGTCATGATGGTCAGGAACTCCTATCCTTCTGAAACTGTAAGCCCACTTATAAGCTCCTTTGGCCATGGTGTTTTATCACAGCAATTAAAAGGTAACCATGACAGTCCTTAGCTCATTGCTGATATGACGTTGCTTTTTGTATCCAGAGAGTGTACAGTGCTTTCATTAGTTCCTTCTGGAACATGGCTATGAGATGCCTGATTTTCAGAGTCTTTACAAACACTTTTATACATCACAGTAATTAGATTCTAAAGTTAACAAGTGGGCTTCCCCTTTAGTGATTAAGTACTTAGCAAGTTAGTGAAAATTTTAAATTATTATTTTATGTGCATAGGTGTTTTGCCACCATGTATATCTGTGTACCACCTGTTTGTCTGATGCCTATGGAGGTCAGAAGAGAGTGTTGGATCCGTGGAACTGGAGTTGCAGAGGGTTGTGAGCCTCTACAGGAGTGCTAGAACTGAACCCAGGTCATCTGGAAGAGCAGCCAATGCTCATAACTGTTGGACTCTCTCTCTCCAGGCCCCAAGTCAACAAATTTTTAATATAATACCCATCATATAAGGGTGGGCATTGTATGCCAAACTCAACTCTCAACACAGGCAGTGGTTTTAGGTCATGCTCCTGGAAGCCATCATGAATATGGAACTACCCAGTGATGACCCATGGCTCTAGGGAGAAACAGGTTAGGGTTCCTGCCAGCTCTGCTCACAGTATTTCATCAGCTGGTTAGCCAATCATCTAATGTTTATGTTTAAAGACACCTCCCAGCCAGGCATGGTGGTGATGCCAGTAAGCCCTGGGAGCAGAAGGGTTGAAGTGAGTTTGAGGCCAGCCTGGGCTAAAAAGTGAGGTCCTGCCTCAAAAGAAATAAATGGACAGGTAAAGACACCTGGTTGGGGTACAGTATTTGCCTTACATGTATGAGGACCTGAGTTTAATCCCCAGACTCTGTGGCATAGCCTTTAATCCTGGTACTCAACTCAGGAGATAGAGGCATCTCTGTGAATTCCAGGCTAGCCAAGCTATATAGTGAGACCTTGTCTCAAAAGTCAAAACAACAAACAAAGCCAGGCATGCCAATCCAGGGCTGAGGAGGAGGAGACAAGCGTATATACTAGGCTCAATGTCCAGCCATTCTAGCCAATCAGCATGCTCTAGGCCAGTAAGGGACTTTGTCTCAAAAAATGAAGTGGATGATGGTACCCAAGGAACAAAAGTGGAGGTTGTCCTCTGGTCTCCACATTCATATGCAAACACGCAAACACACACACACACACACACACACACACACACACACACACACACACA